GGGGGTCCGGAGGTAGCGGCTCGAGGAGCGGGCAGGGGCGTGTGACAGCGTGAGGGGTGTGCGTGCTCGGTGCACACGTGCGTGTCTGCGTGGAGGCCTCGGGCGCCTGGCTGTGCTCCGGTATGGAGGGATGTGTGTGCTTCCTGGGATAGTTGAGTTTCAGCCCTTCCCGCCGACATGGAGACTCCCAAGCCCAGGCTGGAGGCAGGGCGATTTTGCCCAGGGGCGTTCCCTTGCTCCTGAGAGCGACTCCACCTTTGCCTGCCTCGGCTGGGGGGTGTGGAGCAGCTCGTGGTGGTGCATAGCGGTGCCTTTCCGCGAGTGTGGCGTTTTGTGTTTGGGGCCTTGAGCAGAGCTACAATGGGAGAGACTGGGGTCAGGAGTAGGGGTGTACTTACTACGGGGGCTGGTGGAGGGGTTCATTCTCTGCCCCCTTATTCCTGTGCCCTGGAGCGAAGGCTCGTTTAGTAATTTGTGCAAAGTAAAGGACAGACCTCCGACCCTAGAGCAGTGAAGAAGAAAGAGCAGACAGGATTAAGCAAGGCTTCCTGGAGGGGGTGGCATTTGAGCTGAACCTGGAAGACCGAGTGAAGTTCTGAGTAAAGGGAGTGGCAAAAGCATAGCAGGTGGAAAGACCGGCAGGTGCTTACGCCAGGGGTATAAACGGTTACAGCTGACAACGTGGGGGCGTGGTGGACCACGGGGCTCCGGGCGGCCACGGGCTTTGGAATTAGTCTTAGAGGCAGTGGTAAGCACTGAAGGCATCTAGGGAGGAGAGTGGCCTGAGCCGAGTTGGGGAAAGCTGAAAAGAGGAAGATTCTGGGTAAACAGAGGGGAGACCAAGGATGTAGGAGGGTGACTGACAGGCTCCAGGCACGATTTGGAAAATTTTACCCTGGTGGTCATGAGGAGACAGGGCCCGGGAAACCTGGGGGAGGGGCGCAGAGGTCTGGATGGAGGTGATGTTGGCCTGAGGATGAACTAGGTTTAGCGTCCAGGCCCCTGCAGAGGGTTCGAGAGCGGGAGAGTGGAAAGGAGGCTTCCGCAAACCCTGGCCTCCTGTCCCCAGGAGTGGCCAGACCCTAAGGACTGGAGCTTGCAGGACACGGACGCCTTCGTGCTCGTCTACGACATCTGCAGCCCGGACAGTTTCGACTACGTGAAGGCCCTGCGGCAGCGCATCGCGGAGACCAGGTGGGGGCGCGGCAGGTCTGGCGGTGGGGAGCTAGGGCAGGTCTGGCCCGGCCTTTGCCTGAGGGGAGTGTGTAGGGTCTCCCAACGTCGTGGGCCGGGTCTTAGGCCTTCGCCCGTGGGAAGGTCTTCAGCTGTATGTGCTCTTTTGCCCACATGGGCCTGGAGTTCGGGGAGGGCCTCTGGCTGTAGGAAGGGAATGCGCCTGCGTGTGTATACCCACTGGGGGAATTCTCCGGCCGTGGGGTCCCCGGCACCGCGTCTCTCATCTCCATTCGGCCCCCAGGCCGGCGGGCGCGCCCGAAGCGCCCATCCTGGTGGTAGGCAACAAGCGAGACAGGCAGCGGCTGCGCTTCGGACCGCGGCGCGCGCTGGCCGCCCTGGTGCGCAGGGGCTGGCGCTGCGGCTACCTCGAGTGCTCGGCCAAGTACAACTGGCACGTGCTGCGTCTCTTCCGCGAGCTGCTGCGCTGCGCTCTGGTGCGCGCGCGCCCTGCACACCCGGCCCTGCGCCTGCAGGGGGCGCTGCATCCAGCGCGCTGCAGCCTCATGTGACCCAATTGGACAGTGCCATCCATGGGCCCCACCTTGTGACTGGGACAACCCGGGACGTGGATTGGACAGGATCGCCCAACTTCACTGGGACTGGACGGGGCAATCTCTGCCCTGATTGGATGAGGCCTAAGCGACGGGCCTCTTTTTGAACCTCATTGGACCCAACCAGGTCCCAAGCTCCATTGGAGATGACCAGTCCTTTCTGGGACCTCAGTGGGTCACAATCCCACTGGATGGAAAGGACTTGGCTATGAATTTGGAAACGCGAGGCCTGCTCCTGGAGCTTCACTGGACATATTCTTTATGCCACTCCTATCGCAGGATAATAAACGGGAAAATAATTGAGTGCACCTGGGATTTCTGGGCTGGGCGGGATAACGCTTTAAATCTAGAGGTCAGAGCTGCCAGGCTTGACCTCCAGGCAGTTAACTTCAGGGTCCTCGAAAAGGTCTGAACGGCCCCAACGCGGAGTCCCCAAGAAACAGACAGGTGGCTGGAGCAAAACTTTACTGTCAGAGGCTCTGCTGGGCCACAGGTCTTCAGGACACCGGGCTGGCCCGGCCTCCTCTAAGGCATTCAATAATATTAGTAATTAAATAGCAACGCTCATCCCCTAATCGGAATGTACAACAGAGGTCCCATTGTGCCATGTGGTCCCAAGGGGTCTGGTCCCATGAGGTCTGGTACTCAAGAGGCAGAGGGGGCTCCCTGATGCAGAGGGGTTAAGGCCACAAAGGAAAAGGAGAAGGGATGGGGTCTGGGGACAGTGAGCTGGTCCATCACATCCAAGAATCTGGCTCAGCCCTTGGGGTGACTGAGTGCAGGGCATGCCAGGTCCCAAGCTCTGCAGGTCCGGAGGGGCGGCGGGGGCCCCGAGGCGTGGGGATGCGTGAGGGTTTACGGTCTGGCTGTGTGTCCATCCGACCCCGTGCCCAGGTCCTCAAGGGTTCGGGGCCAGCCAGGGAGCTCCCAGGTGCATCTAGTGGCCCCCCCATGCCAGGGCAGGGGCTGCCTTCATCGGAAGAGCTGGAAAGGGCTTGGCTTCGCGGCCCAGACAGGCCATTGGCCGTCCGGCCAGAGTCCCCAGGTTGGCCACATTTGCCACCCAGGACGCTGAGGGACGAAGAGGAGGAACTGGAGGAACAGTAGGCAGAGTCAGGAGCTGGAGGGTCAGGGGCCCGAGCTGGGTCAGGGGCTGGTCCAGTGGGGGTCACGCTAGCAACAGCCTCAAGAGCCCGGGCATTGGCCAGGAACTCCTCTTCCAGGCGCCGAAACAGCTGCTGCTCCTGCTGCGGGTCGAGCTGCAGGGGTGTGCGGAAGATGCTGGCCGGTGTGGTGCCCAACTCTGGACTGGGGCTGGAGACCCGTGAAAGCCGGGGTGCTGCAGGGCTGCGGGCACGGGGAGTCTGGGGGGTGCTCCTGCCCGAGCCCCCAGTGCCCCTGCCCCTTGGCACCCATGAGTGCTGCCCGTCTCGATCCCTGCGCACAAGCAGCACAGTCTGCTCCTCGCGGCTCTGGCTCCGGGCCCGCCGGGCAGGGCTGGGGGCTGACAACTGGGCTCCCCTGCCTCCTGGGGCCCCCCGGGGCCGGCCCCGATCCAGCCGGTCTCGGGACTGGCTGCGCAGGGCAGGAGGCCGTCTCGGAGAGGCCGGGGTGCCTGTGGTCAGCCGCCGGCTGGGTCGCTCCCTCCGGGGGCCAGTGCCTGTGTCATCACTGCGGGTACCAAGGGGGCCGCTCTGGGCGGAGGAGGCTGAGGAGTCACTGTCCCCGGAGTAGCGGCGGGAGCGGGGATGGGGGGGCAGCTGATCCCGGGGCCTGGGGCAGGGGGACAAGAGAGACAATGGGGTACCACGGAAGGACTGGCATGCAGAACAGGCAGGGAGAGGAACAGCAGGGTATGTGGCTGGTGGACGGGGCTGTCAGGGGCATCGGTCTGTCCTGGGGACTTCCAGGGAGAAGTGAGCAGCTTCCTCCAGCCACCCAGGGCCCCAAAAGCCACGGAAGAAGAAGTTTCCTGGGCTCTAGACACCCCCCTTCCCAGAACGGGCCAGAGGAAGCAAGAGCTGGACTGGCTGCCGCCCAGCCGCAGGGCCCGCCCCAGCTGTGTTGTTGGTTTGGTTGTGTTGCCATGGAGATGGGAAGCTAGGCCCGCCCCCACCCACGGGAACTTTTCCCAGGGTGTGAGTCACTCTGGCGCACAGGCAACCCGTCATGCAGGCCAGGGCTGACGCCCCCCAACCCTCTGGACCCTCACCCCTCGTCCTCCTGCATCTCACCTGGGCGGGGTCTCAGGCCCCTCCTTTGTGCTTCGTAAGCTAAGGGGAGTCATCTCAGGTCGGGAGCCCCCGCGCTCACTCCCGGGAAGTGGGCTAGCAGGGCGGGGACTGGGAGTGGGCGACACCCTCTGCGGAGAAAAGGTACGGACCCTCGGCTGGGGTGGGCGATGAGCTGCAGGGAGAGAGGACAGGCAGCATGTGAGGGATGTAGCCACACAAGCGAGTCCCCTGCCCATCCACCCCCAGCCCCACCCTGGCACTGACCGGTGGAGGAGCAGCGGCACGGGTCGTGCTTGTCCAGGTAATGCTCCAGCGTGTCCCAGCCACCACCCACTCGCACCATCACGTGGCTCCTCAGCACCTGCAGGCGTGGGCAGGTCATGGCTGTGCCCTGGGCGCCCGGCAGCCCACCACTTTGGCTGCTGCCCATTAGAGGGGCCCCTGGCCCTTACCCGCACAAAGATGAGCAGGCTTGAGTCCCCCACACGGTACTTCCCCTCCGAGACCTTGATCATGGGGAACTGGTCGGGGCAGGTGCAGCGGCCCAGGATCTCCCTCACCTGAGGCCAGAGAGAGGGTAGGGGTCAGAGGTCAAATCCTCTTCCTGGGGCTTAGTGTCAGCCATTCCAGGATCAGGAGGAAGTCAGGCCTTCCAGGGAAGTGGATGGAGGCAGTGTTACCCCAGATGGGGTACAGCTTCCACACATGACCGACCTTTTCTTTCTTTCTTTTTTTTTTTTTGAGACGGAGTTTCACTCTTGTTGCCCAGGCTGGAGTGCAACGTTGTGATCTCTGCTCACTGCAACCTCTGCCTTCCAGGTTCCAGCAATTCCCCTGCCACAGCCTGCCGAGCGGCTGGGATTACAGGCATGTGCTACCACGCCTGGCTAATTTTGTATTTTTAGTAGAGATGGGGTTTCTCCATGTTGGCCAGGCTGGTCTCGAACTCCTGACCTCAGGTGATCCACCCACCTCGGCCTCCCAAAGTGCTGGATTACAGGCGTGAGTCACCACGCCCGGCCTTTTACCAGCTCCCCCTTCTTGGCTCTCTGGGCCCAGGGAGCTCCCAGGATGAGATGAGGGGGCTGTGGTCACGCCATGGTCTGAGACCCGGTGAGGAACATCCCACAGCTCCTAGAGCTGGGGAAACCCCAGAGCCTGTCCTCACTCCCCCTTCACCCACTTCCCAGACAAGAAGGCTGGGGCCCACAGGAAGGCCAGGCGGGCTATACGACACAGGCGCAAGGGGCCCCATGCCCCTGGGTGGGCACTGATGCGGAGGGGTACCACAGACACGTGGGACACACAGGCCGCTGGCTGGGTGAGCACGCACCACATAAAGCGCCCCACCAGAGCCAGAGCTGCCAAGCTGGCTATGTGGGCAGCCCTGCCCGCCTCCCTGCCCACAGCGGCAGTGGTGCCGCCAGAGGAAATAAGCAGGTGGAGCCTTGAGTGACCCTGGCCCAGGACAGGGGGTGGGGCCCCAGGGTCTGCCCACTGCCATCCGCTATCCGCCTCCCAGGCAGGCACATTGTAGTCCTGACGTTCCGATAAGAAGGAAACTCTTGGTCCAGCCGTTGGGAGTGGCAGGGGCCACCCACATCCTGGGAGAGGAGAGAGTTGGGGGCAGGGCCCGGCACCTTCTATGCTTAGAATCCTGCAGCTCCAAACAGGATCCCCATCCCAGCAACAGCAGCAACCTGGCTAGGCTTCCCAAGGATGCCTGGGGAGTGGGGAGACCTGCAGAGCCCCCCGGGGTACCTACTGTGTGGCAGGCACCTTGCCCAGGGCTTTCCATGCCTCATCTCAACTGAGCATCACAGCACCCACTCAACCTCGAGCCTCCCTGAGGTTCTGGGCACGTCTGCCTAAGACTAAGTGCAGGGAGGGCACAGAGGAGGCGCCCCAATCATGCAGTCCCCCAGAAGAAGGAATGCACAAGCTCAGTTGAGGCACAGTTAGCACACAAAGTGAGGGAGGATCGTGCCAGGAGCCCGCATCCTGTCCCAGGCCCGGCTGGGCCGCGTCATCTCCCCAGCACCTCCCTCTCTGTGGGCTACCCATTTCCTTGGGGTCAGGTATACATTCCTTGATTTGGTGCTCAACATGTGCACTCTTTGTGGGGCAGGCTGTTCTGCAGATAGCAGGGTGGACCCTGGGAGGTTCAGGGACAGATCGCAGGGACTAGCTGGGCTGTCGGGTCCCTGGCGTCTGGTGCTGGGGGACTCACCAGCTCGTCGAGGTTGCGCAGGTCGCTGGGTGTCATGCGGGGGCCACGGGCAGGAGTCCCTGGTGCAGGGGTGGTTTCAATGGTGTCCTCCCCAGCAGCAGGGGTGTTGGGGGCTGGGGGTGCAGCACGCAGCTCCCGCTCAATCTCCTGCTCGAACTGCACGAGGCGTGGGGCGAGCAGGCCCAGGCGGGCCCCACGCCGTGCCACCTCCAGCAGGCACAGCACCACGCTCTTCTCGTTCTTGCGAAGCACCAGGTCCTCAGTCTCAAACATGAGCACCTCCGGCACACCCAGCTCCGTGCGGCACCAGCCGATGAAGGTGGCCACGTTGTCGCGGGCCATGAAGGAGCCAGGCACTACACTGTGTGCCTGGAAGGCCACACCTCGGGCCGGTCGGGCAGCTGCCAATGCACGGGCAGCCTCGGTCACGGCGTTGGCATGTTGGCACAGGGTCGTGCCCGTGGCCAGCCCCGTCAGGAAGCCATCACCACCACCCGGGAGACCCAGGCCGTACAAGGCATTGAGCCACTCGGCCAGGTCCTCCTTCATGGCCTCCACGTAGGCCTCACTGGAGCGAAATGGCCGCACGCTCTTGGCCGCCGAGCCCGCGATGCCCGCCACCGGGTCCGCCATGCCCGGACCGGCCGAGTCACTGTAGGCAGGAACACAGGTCAGGATCGCTGTGGGGACCCAGTAAGGGCTCAGTACAAACTAAGCTGCTGGCCACCTGCACCAGTCTGTCACTCAGGGCAAATGCCTGGTTTACATGTTGGCTCTGGGAAATGTCGGTGCTCCAAGTTTCCTCATCTGCGAAATGGGTACAGTAGCATTCCCTGCCTCATGGGACTCTATGGGATAATTTTTATAAACTTAAGGTCCATTAAGTGTTTGCTGTGTGACTTTTTGGGGTGCAAACTGGGGCTTGGCTGGGGCCTCCCTCTCAGGCAGGGAGGTGCCCATTGTGAAGGGCTGGGACCTAGAGAAGTGAAGGCAACGGCTAGGGCCCCCAGAGGACACGAAGGGAACCCAGGTCCTGACCTCAGAGTGGGTTATGTGCATGGCTCAGGGCTGGTGCCCACCCCACGTCCTGCGGGAAGGTCCCCGCGCCTTCCTTGGCCCCCCTTCCATAAGGGCTGTGCCATCATTAACAACGACATAGCAGCAGCAATAATGTAACAGCACGACCGCACTAGGGCTGAGTGGGCGGAGGCATTATCTCCATTTTACAGATGAGGAAACTGAGGCGCAGAAAGGGCCGAGCTCGTGAAGGTCGCAGAGCTGTGGGTGGAGGAGCCCGGGCGTCCAGGCGGCGCAGCGTGGCCGGTCTCGGCGA